TGGATCAACTGGAAACCATTATACTTAGTGAAATAAGCTGGTTCCAAAAATACAAATATCATATGTTTTCTCTGATGTGTAGTAAATATATAATATGAAAAATGTATAAGAATGATAGACATTTTGTGATTTGATAATTTTAGCCCTTGTTTATACTCCTGTGGAACTGTGGTCTTTCTGCTTTTTACTAGTTAAATATTATGATTAGTGGTACATTAAGCCTGTGATTAGAGAGTGGACTGAAATTATGTTTTTATTAAGATTAAAGAGAAAAAGGAGGGAAGGAGGGAAATTGAAGGAGGGATGCCAAGAAGGCATTATGGTTATCTTCTTAGAATTGTACCCATGAAATACATTAAATCTGTTCTCTTTTATATAAATAAAAATTTTTTTAAAAAATAGATGGGTAAATTTACAAGAAAGACGTCCACAAATAAAAAATATCATACTATTAATTTTTATTTACTTTTCAAGGCAACTATTAAAACTGAGTGTTTTAATATTTAAGGCCTCTATGTATGTCCATGCAACACTAGGCTTGGCAAAAGCTGACCCAGTTTGCTTCTGATCCAATACAAGAGATTTATAGTGTATTTGTAATTCAGCTATTTTTCAAAAGCTACAATTTTTTCTACAAACTTTTATTTTAAAAAAAGCACAAAAAAGCCATAAGTTAAAAAAAGGCTTTTATTTACTATGTTATACAAGTGAAAAAATAGGCTTTTATTTACTATGTTATACAAGTGACATTTAAATGGACAACCCTGTAAAATCTTGAATTAATGTTACGATTTACAGAAATTCAGATGCAATCTATGATTTGCAATGTCTGTGTTCAGAGTAATTTCATGTGAAATGTGGCTTATTAAGCTTTAGTTAATTGGGAATATGTAAGCTGTTGGTACTTATGGTAATATCAATGAATTGATATATGCAATTTATCAGAAAAGTCAATTTCCAATTCTCCTGGATCTATAGGAAGACAGTGGCAGAGCAGGGAGGCGTGGAGTGGGGAATCAGTTAGGCCAGCAGAGGCTAAGCTGATAAATCTAACTCTAAACACACTCTCTGGCCTGTTGTTCTAGTTTTAATAATTCGTTTTTGGTAATTATGTTCTAACACAGTTCTCTTCTGTGTCACTAAAGGGTATGCTGAATTGCTCTCATCTTCTAAATATGACACACTTTATAGTACATATTGTTTTATATTTTCTGCTTAAATTTTATCTCCCAAATTCATCTCTCTAGGGTAAATCCTGCTTTTCCAATTCTGTCCAAAACTATGTCAGGAAATAACCTCAAACAATTCTTAGGATTGTCTCTGTTATTCATTTGAGGTACTGAGATTGGTAAAGGTGCAATAATTTTGACAAAGTCATGTGGTTAGTGAGAAAATTAGAATTCTCATCATATATAAGGCCTCTGTCATTTTCATTTAGTAGAAAAATCTCCATCAACAAGAATCTAAATAACTGTGATCTTCGATTAGTTTTTAACTTGAAAAAAATTTCCTTTTCAGGATAAAGTTATAAGTACAGCAATGTTGTTTGTTAAACAGGAATTAAACATAAAAATTTACATATACAATTCCAGAGATCATTTTATTACTCCCATAGGAATACAATGGGTCTAATAGTCTATCCTTCATACTGCAAATACTCTAGAATGATGGCTATTTTGAGAGAAAATCCTCTTAATAATCCAAATCAATGGCAAAATAAGAATTATGCTAATTAAAGCATGCCAGGAAGCATATATTTTATTTCATTTAAAATGCATCTTATTGACGTGATCCCAAATATAGGGGACCTAAAGACTCCACTAACAGACTATTGGAACTCCTAAAAGCAGGTTATAAAATTGACACACAAAAATCAATAGCATGTGTACACACAAGCAGTGCCATGGCTGAGAAAGAATTCATAAGATCGGTACCATTCACAGTAGCCACAAAATAATTTAAATAACTTTGGATAAATTTAACTGAGGATGTTAAAGATCTCTACAATGCAAATTACAAAGCATTAAGAAAAAACAGAAGAAGGCACACACAAAAAAATGGAAAAAACTTCCAAGTTCATAGATTGGAAGAATTGTCTTTAAAGATTTATTTATTTATTTGAAAGAGTTACACAGAGAGAGGAGAGGCAGAGAGAAAGAGAGAGAGAGAGAGAGAGAAAGAGAGGTCTTCCATCTGCTGGTTCACTCCCCAATTGGCCGCGATGACCAGTGCTGCGCTGATCTGAAGCCAGGAGCCAGGAACTTCTTCCGGGTCTCCCATGTTGGTGTAGGGGCCCAAGGCCTTGGGCCATTTTCTACTGCTATCCCAGGCCACAACAGAGAGCTGGATCAGAAGAGGAGCAGCTGGGACTAGAACCGGCACCCATATGGGGTGCCAGCACTTCAGGCCAGGGCGTTAACCCGCTGTGCCACAGCGCCAGCCCCATGGAAGAATTTAACATCATCAAAATGCCCATGATACTCAAAGCAATTTACAGATTCAATGTGACCTCAATCAAAACACCAAGAACATTCTTTTTAGATCTAGAAAAACCAGTGCTTAAGTTCATATGGAAACACAACAGACACTGAAGAGCTAAAGCATTCTTAACAAAAACAGCTGGAGGCATCACAATACCAGAAGTCAAGACATACTACAGGGAAGTTACAATAAAAACAACCTAGTACTGGCACAAAAATACACATGTAGACCAAAATAACAATATAGAAACTCCAGAAATTTATCCACACATCAGCAACCAACTAATATTTGGCAAACAAGCTAAAATTAATCCTTGGAGAAAGGACAGTGTCTTCAACAAATGGTATTGGGAAAATTGGATCTACACATGCAGAAGTATAATGCAAGACCCCCTACCTCACACATTATACAAAAATCAATGAAATGTGGATCAGGGATCCAAATCTATGATCTGATACCATCAAAATTCAAGGGTAAACCATAAGGGAAAGCATGCAAGACATTGGCATAAATGAAAACTTCTTGGCTAAGACTCCAGAAGCACAGACATCAAGCTAAGAAACTTATGCACAGCAAAAGAAACACTTTTCCAAGTGAAGAGGCAACCAACAGAATGGGAGAAAATAATTTCAAACTATATGTTTGATAAAGGCTTCATATCCAGGATATATAAGGAACTCAAGAAACTCAACAACAATAAAACAAACAATCAAGTTAAGAAATGGGCAGAGGACATGAACAGGCATATATCAAAGAAGAAATATAAATGGCCAACAGACACATGAAATAATGTTGAAGATCATTTGTCATCAGGGAAATGCAAATAAAAACCACAATGAGGTTTCACTTATCTCAGTTACAATGGCTATCATCAAAAAAATCAAGAAATAATAAATGCTAGAAAGGATGTGGAGAAAAGGTACCCTGAAAGACTTCTGGTGGGGAAGTTAACTAGCACAGCCATTACAGATGAGACAATGGTGATTCCTCAGAAATCTGAAAATAGATCTACCATATGATCCAGCCATGCTACTCCTGGGAATTTACCCTAACAGAATGAGTTATTTGTATCCCTGTGTTTATTGTAGCTCAATTCACAATAGCTAATATATGGAATCAACCTAGATGTCCATCAACTGATGATACACACACACACACACACACACACACACTGGAATACTACTCAGCCAAAAAAAAAAAAAAAAAAAAAGAATGAACTCCTGTCTTTCACAACAAAGTGAATGCAATTGGAAAATATTATGCTTAGTGAAATAAGCCAGTCCCCAAAGGACAAACATCATTTGTTTTTTCTGATCTGTTGTAGCTAGTATAGAATACAAAAATACCCCACAATGAATAAGAATGACACTGACATTTTATTATTTGATTATTGTTTTTAGCCCTTGTATATATTCCTATCGAATAGTGATCTTTCTACCTTTTACTTGCTGAACAGTATGGTTGATGGTGCATTAAGCCTGTGATTATAAAGAAAACTCAAATTTTTTATTTTTTATTGTTTTATTTTTTGACAGGCAGAGTGGACAGTGAGAGAGAGAGACAGAGAGAAAGGTTTTCCTTTTCTGTTGATTCACCCCACAATGGCGGCTGCGCATGCTGCGGCCGGTGAACTGTGCCAATCCGAAGCCAGGAGCCAGTTGCCTCCTCCTGGTCTCCCATGCGAGTGTAGGGCCCACGGACCTGGGCAGAAAACTCAAATTATTTTATTGCAAAAAATAAAGAGGGGATTGAGGAGGAAGGGAAGTACGGCTGTCTTAGAGTTGTATCCATGGAATATATGAAATATGTTCTTTTTATTCATAAAAAATTTTGAAAAGGAAAGAAAAATAGATTGCTTTCTTGATTTAGAGCAGTGTGTTCTATTATTTTTACATGATGCATTTTCAATTATAAAACAAGTAATTGCTTAAATAATATTCATAAAATATAGAAAAGCATGAAGTTATCCGATGGTCAGAGACAAGATACATTGTATTTTCTTTAGCCTAACAGTTGAGTTGCTGATTGAGGTGCCCAAGTTCATTATCAGGCTGTGTGGATTTAATCTCTGACTCTGGCTCCTGACTCTAGCGTTTTGCTGATGTATGTCCTGAGAGGCAGTGGTGTTGGCTCAAGTGACTGAGTTCCGTTCACTTCCATGGAGACCCACATTCAGTTCCTGACTCCTGGCGTTGGCCTGGCCTAGTCCCAACCATTGTAGGCATTTGAGGAGTGAACCAGCAGATAGGAGTGCTCTTCTGTTTCTTTCTCTCTCTCACTTTTTCTTACTCTCAAGTATTTCTCAACATTTGAATTATTTAATACATACATTCTTTTTTCTGCTCTGAGCAGTTACTATGTCATTTATAATTCTTTATTTACATAAATATGTATAGTTTAAAATATTCTCATGTGGATATATGAGAGCATATCATATCATGTTTTACTTAATGGTTTCCCTGCTGAATTTTTAAGTTGTTATATATAATGCAACAGTTAATATATTCATTCTTATCCAGTTTCTTAGGTGAGAGTCCTAGAAAGAGAATTACTTCATGAAAGGATAGAAACATGCTTGAAGCTCTGGGTAGGTATTGGTAAATTCTTCTCTAGTTGTTTTGCAGGGCCACCTCATGATATCATGACCCAGCAATGGGTACTATTGCAGAATGCATAGATTCATAATTTGACTTTGTTGCAAACTGCTTGCTTTATCAGGTTTAAAAAATAAACCTGAAACACATTTATCTAAAGTTCTATTGTCAAATAAAACAGCAGATGAATGTGTGGTATCCATCGTGCTAAGGGATGAAATGATCTTTTCTGTTTTTTTTTTTTTTTTTTTTAAGATTTTTTTTTTTTTTGTTTGAAAGGCAGAGTTACAGAGTTTGAGAGGCAGAGGCAGAGAGAGAGAGAGAGAGAGAGAGAGAGAGGTCTTCCATTCACTGGTTCACTCCCCAGATGGCTTCAACAACTGGAGCTGTGCTGATCCTAGCCAAGAACCAGGAGCTGCTTCCGGGTCTACCACGCAGGTGCAGGGGCTCAAGGACTTGGGCCATCTTCTACTGCTTTCCCAGGCCATAGTGGAGAGCTTGATCAGAAGTGGAGCAGCCGGGTCTCGAACCGGCATCTATATGGGATGCTGGCACTGCAGGTGGCGGCTTTACCCACTACTACACAGCGCCAGCCCTTTGTCCTAGTTTCAACTGCAACCTCATGATATATGTGTGACTATACTTATCTTCTAGATGAAGAAATATAGAACATTCTATTATTTATTTTTCATTTGGGTTATCATTATTTTTATCAAACCTTTTAATATCAGGCACCCAAGACATTTACCACATAGCTCTAACATTATTAAAATGATCCGATCTCTTCCTTTGAATTTATTTTCCATATGAATTTTATAACCATTTTATCAATTCTCACAAAATTGGCATTTCATCAAATTCAAGAAAAGTTAAATCTTCCCTGCCACATGATGTCAGGGAGTCTTTTAGGAACCATACTTCATTTTGTGGTTTCCTTCAACATAGTTTTTTTGCCTCACTGTTAAGGTGTTTTTAAAAGCATTTTACTTCAGAATAGTTTTAAATTCACAATACAAAAAGTGTGCGGTAGTAATGCAAAGAGTTCCCATATACCCCTCACCCCATTTCTGCTACTGACATATTAATTTCTTTGTCACAACTGATGAACCATACCCAGCTTCCCCTATTTTGTTTTTTAATCCAGAATGCTTTTATCCCTATTTCCCCTTCCATCATCCAGTAATCAACATGCTGTGTTCAGATTGAGTTTTTGTATTTTTATTTTAGTTCCACATGTAAGATAAAACATGTGGTATTTTTGTCTGGTTTATTTCACTCAACATAATGTTCTCCAGTTCCATTCATTTTTCTGCAAATAGATTTCTTTGTTTTTTAGTGTTAAATAATATTCCATTGCATATGTTTACCACATTTTCTTTATTTATCTGATGATGGACACCTTGATTAATTCCAGAATCTGATTATTGTGAACAGTGCCATTATAAATATGTTGGAGCAAGTATCTCTTTGAGACAGTGAAGTCATGCCCTTTGTGTATATATCCAGTAGTCAGACTGACAGATCATAAGGCAATTCCATTTCTAGATTTTAAAGAAATCTCACTACTGTTTTCATCAGTGGTTGCACTCATTTGCGTTCCCACAAATAGTATGTAAGAGTTCCCCTTTATCCAAGCTTCGTCAGCATTTCTTACTCTGTGTTGTTGATCATAGTCATTCTGACAAGGATGAGGTGATACTTCATGGTGGTTTTGATTTACATTTTTGCTTGTTTCCCTGTTTTTCAATAATGAATGGCATTTTGTTTCTGATCTTATGAATGACTATTATTAGCACTGATTGTGTGTTTTCTTTTTTTACTTATGATAGTTTTCTCAGCAATCTTTTGTTTTCCAGGTAGACAGCAGAATCTGCAATCCTTTTTCCTTAAATTTCTACTATTTGTTATCTCTGAGACTAATTTACTGTCTCATTGAATCAAATAAAACTTTAAGAACAGTATTACATATGGTTATAGTCATAGGACATCCCATTTTGTCCCTTACCATAATGGTATTATTCCTTGTATTTGGCATTGAAATTAGTGTCTCTCTCTCTCTTTCTCTCTCTGTGTGTGTGTGTATTCTATAGTAACATACGATGAGAATGCCATCAGTGGAAATTTCACCTTCACTTGGCACTTTGTCGTTTTTAATTTTCAGTATTGTCATGGACAGTTCAATGGGAGAATTACAACAGGTATGCAGCTCCCCAAACTTGCTGCTGTTGTAACAAATCAAATACAGAAATTTTAGAAAGATTTTCTACAAATGGTGCAATATATTCTTGCCTAATTAACTTTAAGATCAACCCATTTCCCTAAGCATCTCAGTCTTCTGAGGTAAGGTTATAATTGACTTTTCCTAATTAGATTTATCTGATATGCCATTATTTTCCATTATACATGCTATTTCCACCTCCCACTAGAATTCAGCTTTCTATCCCAAGACTACCGAAAGTCAAACTTGGAGTTAATAACGAACAAACTCCTTAGCTGAAAATCTACCACCTCTTCTACTAGAACCCATTGATACCTACTGTGGAGCAAGGCCTTGGTTCTGGCTGGTTTGATATCCTGAACTCTTGTTCCTCAGGCTTAAATAATATAATGTTTAATTCTACCCACTGGATTCAAAGAACTGTAGTTTTCTAAGGTTAAAAGTGTGGATTTGTCATTATACAGTTGTCAAAATCTATAGAGTGTACAACACTAAGAACAAATTGCTGGTTCATTTCCCATAATACCCAGGAGCTTAGAATTCAATCCAGGTTTTCCTTATGGGTGGCAGGAACTCAAACATTTGAGCTATCACTGCTGCCTCCCAGGGTCTGCATTAGCAAGAAAGTGGAATCTGTAGTTGGATCTGGGGGCCAAACCAAGGTGCTGTGCATTCTTAACCAGCAGGCTAAAAGCCTACCTCAATGCAGGTTTATTAATGATAACAAATGCCTGGTTTTGGTGCAGGATGTCGATGGTGGGGGAGACTGTGGGTTTGCAGGCCGAGGAGTGTGGGAACTCTCTGGCTTTTTTCTGTGAACCACAAACTTCTCTGAAAAGTAAAGTCTGTTTAATAATATACATGGCTAACTAGCCCCCAAACACTGTCCTCATGTCAGATGTCTGGCATCTTCCCAAAGGAAATCCTTGTCTTATTTGTCAGAATAAGGGCAAGGGGGCTAATTTTTCTTTTCTTTTTTCTTTTTTTTAAAGATTTATTTATTTATTTGTGAGGCAGAGTCACAGACAGAAAGAGGGAGAGACAAAGAGAGTCTTCCATCCACTGGTTCACTCCCCAAACAGCCAAAATTGGGCCGATCCAAAGCTAGGAGCCTCTTCCGGGCCTCCCACATGGGTGCAGAGGCCCAAGCACTTTGGCCATCTTCCAGTGCTTTTTCTGGCCATAAGTGGGAGCTGGATCAGAGGAGGAGCCGCCGGGACACAAACCGGCGCCCATATGAGATGCTGGTGCCACAGGTGGAGAGTTAACCTACTACGCCATAGTGCTGGCCCCAAGAGGGCTAATTTTTCAGGACTGCTCTCTTCTCCCTAGTCTTTCGCCCCCCCCCCCCACTTTATTTCCTCTTTTATTCTCATAGTTTCATTCTATGCCATCCTCTGTACATGAGAGATGTGATAAGCATGTACTGTCAAATAATGGTGACATTAAATTTGGTACACCTCCTGCAAGTCCCTTCTTCATTCTCCACATTTTCTTAAAATTTATTTTTATTTATTTGAAAGGCAGAATTACAGAGAGAGAGGGAAAGATAGAGAGAATCTTCCATCTGCTTGTTTACTCCCCAAATGGCTGCAAAAGCCGGGATTAGGCTGGCAACTGAAGCCAGGAGCCAGGAGCTTCATCTGGGTCTCACCATGGGTGTAGGGCCCCAAGCACTTGGGCCATCTTCTGTGCTTTCCCAGGCACATTACAGGGAGCTGGATTGAAAGTGGAGCAGTCAGGACTGGAACCGGTGCCCATATGGATGCCAGTGTTGCTGGTGGTGGCTTGACCTGTTATGTCGCAATGCTGGCCCCCATTCTCCACATTTCAAAAAGTTCTCTGAACAACGGTTCACATTGTCACTGTGCCTGGGGTATGAAACAAAAACCATCATCTTTCTGGGACACTCTAAACTGAATAGTTCAAAACCTGCCCTTCGTGGGAAAGGAAGAGAATTTTTCTGTGAAAACTAAGATTGGCAAGAATGAGCGTTAATGTATAAATGAGCGACAGGGACCACAAGACTAACAGCAGAATGGTCCCCACTTGGTAGTGTGGGGAGCAACTGAGACTAGACTAAGTTACTGGAATTAAGACTTATTCTATGCATCTGCTCTCCCACAATATGGCGCTGGGAGAGGAGAAAACAACCTCTACGCAGCTGCCTCATCAGTTTGACTGATAAGCTGCAGGAGCTGATCCTGCTCCTGATTGGAGGAGAGCAGCGTGCTCGGCGTGTGGGTAGCAGAGTTGAGATTGGTGGAAGAGGACTATAAAGGAAGAGAGAGACAATATGCACCAGGAACACCTGTGGAACATCTGAGCAGCCCCCGAGAGAGCCGGCCCGCTCCTCCACGGAAGTGGGGAAAGCGGCGGCGGGGGGGTGGGTGCCGCCCCTCCACGGAGGTGGAGGGGTTGGCAGCTAACCCAGGATGGCGTCGTTCCTCCGCGAGTGAGGGAGTGGCAGCTAACCCGGGAAGAGCCGGGCAGAAAGAACAGCGCAGGGTCTGGTGTCGTTCCTCCACGAATGGGGGAGCGACAGGTAGTTTGATGGCATCATTTGCTACATCACAGTGTGTCATGTGGAGATCCATGGGACATCTGGAGAAATCTCCAAAGTTGTCTGTTTGGTCTCAAGGACACTAAATAGTTTTGTTTTCCTCTTGGCTTTGGCTGCCAGGGAACTCAGAATCAAGTATGACCAGGTCAGCTTTCAAACATAAAGGATCGTTAGCTTGCATTGCAAGTAGCTTTTGCCTCCCTGGGGGTTTA